TCTCTTCCTTTTTCTCTCCCCTCTCTTTCCCCCCACAATCTTATTATTTCTCTGTCATTCTTTCTCTTGTCTTTCTCTCTCTTTCTTTTTCTCTCCTCTCATTATTTCTTTCTGTGTTTTTCAATCTTGTCAGTCTTTCTCTCTATCACTCACTCTCCCCTAATGTTCTCTCTATCTCTCTCTCTCTCTCTCTCTCTCTCTCTCTCTCTCTGTCTATCATTGTTGCTGTTTCTCTCCCCTCAATCCCCCTCCCTACTATTTCTCTCACTCACTCTTTCTCTCTCTGAACAAGATGACTCAGTGAGTTGTATCTCTTGTATATCTACTTGCTTCAACCACAGACCAATCAACACACACACACGCGCACACCCACACACACAAACACACACACACGCGCACACACACACACACACACAAACGCGCACAGACACACTCACAAACACACATACACACACCCCTCGTGACTGCGCAAACACCCGTCCGGACCCTGAGGTAAAAAAAGTCCCTATTATATCATTTCATCATATTGACACTGACTAACAGTGCAGAGAACACACCTATCATACCATCATAAAGGAGAAATCTCTGAAGAAGTACAAATACAGAGCAACTGTTGACTGAATATGCTGATATAACACTGGATCAGGCAGCTATAAACTCCAGCTTTCAAAAGTTATAACATATAAATATTACAAACTTTTCCCCCAAATGTATTTCTAGATGTTCTATTCAAGTATTTGAAGCAGGCTAGCAGAAGTTAACGTTGTCGTTAAGGTGTTTTCTCTTCCTTGTTTTCGACAGAGTTTGAACCCTATTGCCTGAAATGAAGGCTGAGCTGTAATAGTCACGGTTCGCCACTAGCTAGTTTATTGTAACCCTTCTCAGAGGTATAGTTACAGTTGCTAGGCTGAAGGACCATCTGTGTGAACTAGTCTGCTACGGCGCCACCCTGAGGCAGACCAGTGCTGCAGCTCTAGTTAGTTAAGAATACCAAAGACAGAAGCTTGATTCTGGGTGAAGCAGCTAAACGGTGACCCTTCCCTGAATTTGTATATGAACATCTATTTTTGCATAACATCCTAATAAGTTTTCAGGGACACGCAAGAATTTTAAGACATTCCAGGGTTCCAAAGGCTTAATTAAGTGGTCTCAGCCCCCCATGAGCCCCCTATATTTTGCTCCTTGGAGCTAAGGGAACATAGGTACATGTACATAGGCTGATGTACCCCAGTACAGTAGTGTCGCCAGGTGTCCATTTTAGATCGGCTGAAAGGTTAAAACGTCCTGTCGTGTCTCACTCTAAGTGCATTCCATTTGTAGATACAGACACAGTGCTGTTCTAACCCCGTCACTGCGCTCCTCTCTTTCTGTCTCTCTGTCAGTGCGCTGTCTGCACTGGTGTAGCAATCACAGGTAATCATGTGTGTACGGGTTTTCAGTTACAGGGCCACTGCTGTGTCTCAAACCGCGTATACTGTTCTAAATAGCACAGCATATTAATACGGCACCAGTGCAACAGCTGATTTCTGGCTGATTTCTGACGCATTTTTACACTTACGCTATCAAGCTACAAAAAGAAAACAAAACAGCGAAAAATTGGAGTGCTTAGATGCTTCATACAGTCATGTGCAAAAGTTTGGGTGCCCTGGTCAAATTGTCTGTTGCAGATTTTCTAAGTGAAAGTAAGTGAATACTTCTTCTACAGTGAACGTAATTCTGAATTTTAATACATAATTACTGTTTATTTGCTAAATTTAACATGTTGGGAAAAAAAATCAATAAAACATATATTGCAGCTGGTGGCACATTTTTATTTTAGGCTTTAATTAGGCTTTCCAATCCTACATTTCTCTAGTATTTTTTCCACTTACTACATTTATGCGGTTTTATGTACCAAAAATAATAGAACATAATTAATTTTTTGCAGGGCTATTTTCCAACCTCTCTTTTTGTTGCCAAGCTTTTAAGAGTGATATTTCATCACTGCTGATTTGAAAACTTTGTATCTCCAGCATTGTTAACTTCACAGGAGAAGAATAACTTCCTTAACTCATGATAAATGTTAACGTAACCAGATTTTTCTGGTTTTTCAAGTAATTTTGGATTACATCTATTGGTCCATTCATCATACAATTTGTACAGAACACATAGGGTAACTGAAATCAGGCAAAAAAGTGAAGCACATCAAAAATAGAGAGATAAAGACTTTTGTGTGACAGAGATGATACATAAGTGATGTTATGAATGGCTGCTTTGTTGTGCTTGATTCAAAAAGCAGTCTGGGCTGAAGCACTCATTATAGCATCAGCGTGAATAGGCAGGGCTAAAGCAATGTAGGCTGAATAGGTAGATGTAGGTTTTTGTGTCATCATAAAAACAGCGAATTCAAAACAGACTGTTTTTGCAGCTTAGTTTCAATGTATACACCGTATTTTTAAACTTTAACCATGATTACATGCTCTCATTCTCAGCAAATCAATAGAAATTGTGCACTAAATTT